CAGTTTACAGTTAAAGGTTCTAAGCTTACCTGAAAATATTATCTCAACAATTTCGATTTCTTCATATTTAAGGATTCAGTTCAGTCAGGTTTATTTAAATCTGAAACCGTGAATTGTACGACAAAGACAAATTCCTGTTAAAATTGTTCATGTAATTTAAGTGCTGAACGTTTTTAATACAGCAGTGTAAAATAATTGGTTAGTTTTACCTGCGATTTTTCGCCGCAATGATTGAAATATTCGCAAAATTAGTAAGATATTTTAATGCTTGGAGCTGTATCCAGGACTCCATTGATGCACCCACGACCCCTTACGCTGTGCTTAGCCAATTTTTTTTTCCGGGGGGGGCGGGCTTTAGTATTTCACAGATTGTCGATATACACTCATGTCCATAAATTAAGGATAATGCAAAATCAGGCAAAGGAAGAGTTAGAAGCAAAACAAATTTGACTTATTTGTAAAGCTTATTTATTAAACAAAAAGTAAAGAGCAAAAAAAAGATGCTATATGTTTGATATTATTAAAAAAATTAGCGATTTTTTCTCCCTGGAGCAAATTACAAAAAAAAAAAAAAAAAAAAAAAAAAAAAAAAAAAACTATTTACAAAAAAAACAATATTACATGGTTGGTATGATTGTTAATACATTGTATGTCTCCCAGACGATGCAATACAGTCCGTACAACGCCTAAGCATGCTGAGTATCAAATTATCGATCTGATCTTGGATATTACACCACTCAAAACGCAATGCTCTCCGAAGTTGGTGTAGACATGTGGGAGGAGGTTGACGGGCTGCAACTCGTCGGCCAAGCATGTCCCACACGTGCTCTACTGGATTCAAGTCCGGTGAGAATGCTGGCCAGTCCATACGGGTGATATCCTCCGATTGAAGGCATTCGCTTACGATGTTTGCACGGTGAGGACGGGCGTTGTCATCCATAAACACAAATTGTGCGCCCATGGCGCCCCCAAAACAAACGTACATGTTGCTCCAGAATGATGTCCCAATAGATTTGGCTTGTCATGGTTCCAATTTGAACATGCACGTCAGTTCTGGAACCCAGAATAATTCCACCCCAAACGAGCACTCTTGCACCACCGTAACGGTGTCGTTCAATGATGTTTTCTTGGTGGTAACGGGTACCTGGAGCTCTCCATATGAAAGTTCGGCGAGAATCAGACTGCAAGCTAAACCTGGACTCGTCGGAAAACATCACACAAGCCCACTGTTGCGGTGTCCACAATGCATGCTCTCTACTCCAGGCTAACCGCAGGCGACAGTGCAGTAAGTGGAACGCATTTGACAGGTCTAGGAGCATATAGACCAATTTGCCCTAAGAGTCTGTACATGGTCTGCCTTGAAATTGTCGTACCAGTGGCTGAAGAGAGCTGACGAGACAGGTCTGAGGCTGTGCTCCGCCTGTTTCTTTTGACAGTAACTGCCAAATACCGGTCCTCATTCGGCGTTTTAACTCTGGGGCGAGCTGTGCTGTAACGTCTGCTCACATTACCATCATCTTGGAATCGTTGCCAAAGCCTGGAGATGACACTCTGGGCAATTCCAAGTACTTCCAGTTGGGTACGACCACATTCCAGATGGCCGATAATTCTACCACGTAAAAATCATCCAAATGCGTCCTTTGTGTCATAACTATTCGGTTATTGCACTGAAATGCTTATAAAGCGCCTGCGAACAATTCTACTTCTTTACCTGTATTCCTTATATATCACTCTCGTCATTGTGACGTACCATCGGTGTCATCTGGTTACTTCCTGAAATTTGCATATGATTCTTGAAGATGTGTGTAGTGATTTTACAGGTGATATATTTATTTTAGAGTTCGATTTCCGCGTGACTCCAAATTATCCTTAATTTACGGACATGAGTGTAGATATAAAATCTAGTGACGCTCTCTACTGACATATCTTATCTATGCCTCTCAATGTTGTTTATCAAATTAAAATTTATTAAAAATTTTCGTTCGTTTTGCAAACAGTTCGTATACCCTGCACGCTAAGATTTTAGTGAAATCTTTAGATCAGGCCAAGCGTAGTTTTCCCAGTCAATATTTTCACTACTTCTTGTATGAAGTAAAAGAAGTATGTAAGCGCGGAACATTTCTGAATAACATATTTTAAAGAAAAAATCCATTTTTACCATTCCCGAATCCGTTTTGATTATTTTTTGCTTGATGTCTGTATGTCCGAACAGAATAAAGGCCTCTTTTGTCCAGAACGGATTGTAAAAGGCATTTAAATTGTGTTCTAAAGGGACTTTTTTGAGACATCTGTACTTACGTACGTACGAAGCGGAGACCCTGAACATTACATGTTTCAGTGTCCGCTAACGTCAGCCCATCACATTCGCCATCCCACCGACACTGGAATAGAATGTAGAAGATTCATTATTAGGCACCGTAAATTTTTCCAAAACATCAAAAATATTTTTGATTTCTTACACCTCCAAGGACTGGACCTGTGTCATCCCATAGCTTACAACCCCAAATAATCCTCTAAGTTCATAAAACGCAACAATAAGAATATCCACTCTCCCCCCTCATACTATACAATAGTGCCTTTAGAAAACACACTTAAATATATCCATTTATTGAGACAACCGTAACTTTCCTCATACTACAAACTATGAACCACTTCATACTGTGCAATGTGTGACAGATGCACCAGGACTACGTACTCAACACTATGTACCATGAAATGAATTCATGAACTGTATGCTGTACTATGAACTGCACTATGAATGAGAACTTATAAACTGTGTTAACAAAAAAAACCAAACAAACAACGAACCACATACCATAAACTCTCTCCCCCCCCGCCAACAAAGCTCCAAACCGAAGCACAAAAGAAATATGTATATTTGTTACCGTTAAAGACCGATATTGGAGAATGTCGACTTTCACCGGAGAATGTCAACATTCACCAAATATGTCGGTGAAAGATGGAATATTTCTTTACATTCTTGCACATTCGGACCCTCACCGGTGTATGTCGACAATCACAGATATGCTCTGGTGTAGGTCGAAAAGAGAGGAGTATATGTACACGCTGCCATTCCAAAAGGAAGTGTTCCACAAATAAATGCAGTTGTAAAAACAAGGGCCTCTTCTGCAATTCAAAGTGTCATAATAGTTTAAGTTGTTGCAATAAATAAGATTTGAATCACATAATTTGGTAAATTTATAACTTCTATTATTTTCCTTTCTCATTTTGAATGTACTGTATGTTTTAAGTTCTTATGGTCTTAAGTTCTTATTCTGAGTCTCAAGTGCGTTTTTTCGCGAATGAATTACGGAGAAGGAAATGTATTCTTATAATATTCTTATATGTTCAACATTCACCATTAGTACCTGGTGAGTGTCGACATTCACCGGTGTAAGTCAGAAGTAAGAGTATTTGGAAAATATTTCGGACATACACCAAGAGACTATGTGAATGTTGACATTCACCGGTGAAAGTCGACATTCTCCAGATTTCGGTGTTTCACCGTAACATATACATCTGTAAATAACTTATTCTAATTATCTATTGTAATTATTGTATCTATCCATCCAACTGCAAAGTACCCGTGTAAAGAATATCTGAGACAATATTGTCTGCAATGCAAATTATGCACCATCAATATATAACTGTGTATTATGAATGCTGCAATGTAAACTAATTCCCGAGCATGGTGTTAGCATGCCCGGTCAGGGTGCACTTATATATAGATGGTTAGTGCAGTGGGGCGATACCAGTTTTGCCCATGGCGATGTTTTGGGGCCTCCTGTACTTCTTTCTGTCTGTCTGTTTGTATCTCGTATAACTAAAAAACGATTGATCGTAGAACATTGGAATTTTGTACATGTAATTTCTATAACATCTAGCTGGGCACACCTTCCTTTTTTAATGCAATCCGTCAGTACCAAAATTATACATATATATGTATGTAATGAAATTCCATAGTCAAGTATAGGAACCGGAAATTAAAAATTCTTAAAATTCTAACTGTATGTTCTTTTCATTTTTAATGGCGACGTCTATTATTTCAAAGTACGTGGAATTAAATCCACAGCCCCGTAGTCAAGTTGTTTTTCCCGCCTTTTCTACACGTACAGTTATAGAATGTTCTGGAAATATTTAAAGCGAACTGGAATGGCTGACGAGGCTGACGTCATTTCTTGGAAGCTCCGCCTTTCCAGAGGCTATAAAAGTTCTCGCAAAGGAATATCGAGGTCTTTTCTTTAATGTAACGATGCAGTAAACTTCATACAAAAAATTATTAGTAATTCTTTTTTATTTACTCCGGATATCTGATTTTGCAACTGCTATTTCTCCTGAATAATAATAAATGGATCCTGTTTTTTAAACTTATCGTCTGATAATTTAAACTACGACTACATTTATGATTCTTCACCAATCTATTTATTCCGGACAAAAGCTGGTACATCACATGTATATATCAGTCCCTTATCCGGCCTTTATTTCCGCAATTGTTGGTCATAGTCATATAATCCCACTTATAGAAATGTTTTAAATGACGAAACTCTTCTTGTTTTGGCAATGTCAGATTCAAAAGAAAAATTGGATAAATAACGAAATCTAACTTTTATCACGCTCCCCCGGTTCCTATACATAAACTTGTTATGTCTTAAAACAACATAACAAGTCTTAAAACATATTTGGGAATGTTTTAAGACTTGTTATGAAAATTAAAAATGAAAGAAATTTGACTTTCGAAGGACAAAAAGTCATCGGGATATTTATTTTCGAAATTTGCAACTTCTGAATTTATTCTCGCTTTGCCTTAATCGGTTCATCAAGTTTGAATAATTCGAGGATATAAGTTTAAGTAGAATGTAGCAAAAAATGTGGATAATTTAATAGGCCGTACAAGGAAGTCATCCAGTGTCCATATCATACTTTTTCTTATAATTACACAAAATTAAGTAACAAAGAAACTAAAATTAAACATTTCATTTCAGTTATATACTACCTCTTACCACTTCAAGCATATCCGCAGCTGGAGGATTCACTCTAGTGCGAAAGAAATTATGGATCATAAGAATCTTCCTTCTGGTGGCATGGTTTCTGGGATCCAAATCTCTTTGAGGAATTGCAGTTCCATAAAGCCTTGGACCTTAAAAAATATATTAAATTCGAAATTGAGAAAATTCTATTACAACGCAGACATCCTTTCACTAGCAGAAAGGACTGCTTTCTTTATTAAGACAAAAACTGATGAATGAGAAAAATGAATATTTGGTTTAATTTAGAGTAAGCTCAAATATCAGTATAACAGTAAATTGCATAATACACAAATTCGCTGCTTTTACGCAAGTTCAAAAACGACAGCTCTTATAACATGGTTTTACTTCATTTGGTTTTATTCTTTTGAAATCTTTTTCAAGGTCTTTCATATGTCTCAGTCATATCTTGAAATAAGTTAGTATGACTTCTGATTTGGGAACTGAAACTCATTATTAAGCAATCAAAATAACGCTGAGCCGAAATTAACTTATCCTGACCTAAGCTTTCACCTTGGGGACGTCACATTTTCACTCTCTAGCGCTGTCAACTCGCTTGCTGTCTGTTGCCCATTCCTTCATAGAAATTAATTATTATAAAGATGTATAAAAGGCACAAACGTCATTAAGAACTAACCCTCAGATTACTCCTATAACGAGGTGTAATCTGCGTTAAGAATGTGCTTCTTAATAAAGAAAATATAAATCGGCCACAAATGTCTTCTTTTAATGCACCGAGCTATATTTTTTCCCCACTCTGTAAACCCTGTTTTTCATATCATTGCGACATCAACTTACGAAATATTCGACACACACACACACACACACACACCATCCATACATATATATATATAAATTTAATAATCAACACATAATAATTAAATCAAAATTAAATAGTGAAAGGGGTTCAACATTCTAACAGGAAATACGCATACCAAAATTAAAGCAAAAACAATTAAAAAACTAATTAAACTTAATTAATTGATACACAATATGGAAAATATAGAAAAAATAGGCAACATCAGAAAGTATTCGTTATCCAAAACAGCATTTCGGCCACCTTCCTACTTGAAGAAACAACTGAAACTCATGGCACAAATCAAATGGCAAACAAATTGGGATGAATGGGAACAAGGCCGCTGCGCATCCTACTACACTCATGTCCATAAATTAAGGATAATTCGGAATCACGCAGAAATCGAACTCTAAAATAAATATATCACCTGTAAAATCACTACACACATCTTCAAGAATCATATGCAAATTTCAGGAAGTAACCAGATGACACCGATGGTACGTCACAATGACGAGAGTGATATATAAGGAATACAGGTAAAGAAGTAGAATTGTTCGCAGGCGCTTTATAAGCATTTCAGTGCAATAACCGAATAGTTATGACACAAAGGACGCATTTGGATGATTTTTTACGTGGTAGAATTATCGGCCGTTTGGAATGTGGGCTTACAAAACTGGGCGTATCAGACGAACTTGGAATTGCCTAGGGTGTCATCTCCAGGCTTTGGCAATGATTCCAAGATGATGCTAATGTGAGTAGACGTTACAGCACAGGTCGCTCCAGAGTTACAACGTCGAATGAGGACCGGTATTTGGCAGTTACTACCAAAAGAAACAGGCGGGGCACAGCCTCAGACCTGTCTCGTGAGCTCTCTTCAGCCACTGGTACGACAATTTCAAGGCAGACCGTGTACGCACGCTTAGGGCAGATTGGTCTATATGCTCGCAGACCTGTCAGATGCGTCCACTTACTGCAACTCACTGTTCCCTGCGGTTAGCCTGGAGTAGAGAGTATGCATCGTGGACACCGCCACAGTGGGCTTGTGGGATGTTTTCCGACGAGTCCAGGTTTAGCTTGCAGTCTGATTCTTGCCGGACTTTCATATAGAGAGCTTCCAGGTACCCGTTACCACCAAGAAAACATCATTGAACGACACCGTTACGGTGGTGCAGAAGTACTCGGTTGGGGTGGAATTATTCTGGGTTTCAGAACTGACCTGCATGTTCAAATTGGAACCATGACAAGCCAAATCTATCGGGACATCATTCTGGAACAACATGTACGTTTGTTTCGGGGCGCCATGGGCGTACAATTTGTATTTATGGATGACAACGCCCGTCCTCACCGTGCAAACATCGTAAGCGAATGCCTTCAATCGGAGGATATCACCCGTATGGACTGGCCAGCATTCTCACCGGACTTGAATCCAGTAGAGCACATGTGGGATGTGCTTGGCCGACGAGTTGCAGCTCGTCAACCTCCTCCTACATGTCTACCGGAACTTCGGAGAGCATTGCGTTTTGAGTGGTGTAATATCCCCCAAGATCAGATCGATAATTTGATACTCAGCATGCCTAGGCATTGTACGGACTGTATTACGTCGTCTGGGAGACATACAATGTATTAACAATCATACCAACCATGTAATACTGTTTTTTTGTAAATAGGTTTTTTTTTGTAATTTGCTCCAGGGAGAAAAAATCGCTAATTTTTTTAATAATATCAAACATATATCATCTTTTTTGGCTCTTTACCTTTTGTTTAATAAATAAGCTTTACAAATAAGTCAAATTTCTTTTCTTCTAACTCTTCCTTTGCCTGATTTTGCATTATCCTTAATTTATGGACACGAGTGTACATCATATAAGCAGAAGATAACCGTAGCATATTTTAATGGATACAGAACAGCATACCGACCTCTGGGTCTGTAAAAAAAATTGGTATCCCAGACCATTATCTTACCATCTGGTAACTTATCAGAAAACACCACCTTAAAATCCCCAGTAACAAAACACAAACCTTCTGAAAGTCTAAAACAACGTGATCTGGTGGCAAGGATCGCCCAGATTATCGACAAGCTTGAAATACTCGAAGCTGACCTCTGCCTCGTTTTATAATTTTTTTATTAATAGGAACAGTGCTTAGATGAAGAATTTAATATACACTTAGTTTGTTTCTAGATATTTTAACTCTTTGTACTTACTTGGATGGTCCACAATATACATTTGTAAAATTCTGTGAAGTTTGTAAAATATTGTGTTTGTAATGTGTTCTATTCTAAGTGTATAATCCGCTGTAAAGTAGTTTGTTTATCTGAACTAGTGTAATAATTATTTAAATTGTGTAATTATGTCCCAAGCCGCAACGGCAACGAAATCTTACAATGTTATTTGATGTATCGCCTAATGCTAGATATGCGGAGACTTAAGACAATAGAACCTAACTGCTGGGTAGAATGATTATGTCTTTATCTCCCGTTAACTGTCAACTATTAAATGCTAACTATTCAAATTTTAGTCTCTCACAGACAGCTTCTAATTAATTCCTGCGTGTGTTTGCAGGGATAGTTTGCCAGGCTTCAAAAAGGCAGCAGAGATTGAAATTAGCTGCAGTCATTTAAATGGCAAGCATTCTAGTCTTCAGGCGTGTGCTAGGTTGGAAAACGTATCGAAGTATCATAGAATCCTTGCCTTTCCATTGAGCTCACAGTAAACCTTTAAGTCAACAAGTTTTAGTAGTACAGCCAATAAATTTATAACCTTTAGTCAACAAGTTTTCGTCAGGCTTTGGCATTTAAGAACAGATCCATTTTGCTCTGGAGAAAATGTAATGCTGTACTAACTCGTGGCATATGGTTATGTCTAACCTTTTATTATTCTTATTGCATGACAATGATTCCACACAGTAGCATATGAAGCATCAAACACTTTCCATAAATCTGTTTAGCCTCTTTTACTTCCCGTAATTAATGTAAATGCTCGAAAGCTAACTGGGGAGTTTTATCACAAAATTATTCGTTAATTACATATCTACGCATACTATATCTGTTAATAAAATTCCACAGTCGGAAAATGGCAAAGAAAGCGTAGCAAAAGCCGTGGAAGGTTTTTTGATGTCACAATATTTTCTTTCTAAATTTCTCTCCCCATCTAGCGGGCAAGCAGTCGATACCGCTAACCACCATGTCACTCAGAATAGTGGTATATTTCTAGGTAGAAAGAAAGAGAAATTTGCAATGATGTCATTAAATGCAACCAAATACTAATAATCATTGTTTCTAATTATTTCAAGTAGGTGAAACAGTATTTCCAACGATTTTTGACACAGGTCGTAAACGGAAGGAAAGAATGATTGCTTTTATTTATTCGAGAGAAAATTTCTCAGAATTATTTCAGAAAGCTTTTTTGCTATGACAGTTATTTCAAAATTAGGTTCCTCTGCATTTTTCCCAAGGTATTATTTCTCATTCTGCTAATATATTTAGGGATATGAGAAATGAATAATGAGAAATATATTCTGCTAATATATTTCTCATTCTGCTAATATTTTTTCCCAAGGTATTATTCCTCATTCCGCTAATATAAGTTTCTGCACATTTACATTCTAGTAGTTTCTGCAAATTTACATTTTACATTCTAGGTAACATTTCTAGGTAACATTCTAGGTGACATCATTCTAGGTAACATTAGAATTTTACATTTCTAATTTTACATTTTGCACATTTACATTTTACATTTCAGGTAATTCTGAAATACATCATTTTATTTGCCTACGCGTCGAACTCTATTTTTAAATTCCTTTTGAAACGTTCAATTCCAAACTTGCGTTTAAAGGCAATATAAAGTCCTATTGAGGTACAAAATTTATGTACATTTATTTATTTATTTATTTATTTTGCAATTCACTTCCATTCAGCTTTCAGTTCGACGTGGGTATAACCAAGGTATTTTTAATCCATAATAAGGCTTGTTTGAACGCTTCACTTTCTGCCTGGAAAACTGAATTATATATATTCAACTTAAACATTCTATAATCCACCTCAGTCCATAGTAAAAAACAACAAATGCAGCACCTACGCTCCCTCCGACCCCAGAACCATCTGTATGAATATAAAACACATCAACAGTTGGATTACATTTATCAAAAACAAAAACAAATCTATTGGAAGGATGTATTAAATGAATATTAAATTTTTCAAAAACATTCTTTGTAATTAAATAATATTCATACATTTTCAATTCCATTCTTCCAGTTCTCAATAAAAATTTCTCATAATAAAATTCGTGTAAAATTGAGAGAGGAGGCAGCCCAGCCAAC